TTTAGCATATCCATTTCGTTTAGTACTAGTGCTTTCCAGTTCTTGATCATTACAGCCCCAGTTCAGGTTGTCTCAGTAAGGCTCAAGAAGAGAATCCATGCTAGCAGGTTTACTTGTAGTCATGAATTGTTTCAACATTTCAGTCCAGATCCTTGCAGCGGTTTTTCCTGAAATGTGCATGGAGAGATTATTGAATCTGTAATGGCATATTTATGCATACTAGTATTAAAATAATGTTCCTTTTGCTAGCATTCTCAGCAAAGAAGCGAAAAGCTTACTGAGAGCACAGGAGGTGAACAGCATTCCTTCAGAGTCAGTAATTTCCTCCAGGGCAAGGACTGTATCACCTATCAGGCGCTATCAGCATGAAAATGGCGGTCCCTTTTCTGTGTACATTCTATTAATACTGATTTATTTTTTATAGCCCTGTCTCCTCCCTGCTTCTGCACCACTGCAAAATGCATTTACATTTTTTCAACAAAAACATATTATGATATTTTCTCATTTTTCTGTTTCTGATAAAACTATTCTCTACTTGCCTGATTTTCTGTAGGTGCTCTGGATTTGGATCATTGGAATACAAACATAGGCAGTGAGATTACAAGGTTTTGAGGGCCATGTAATTTTACATATGGATAGAGTTCCGCTGGTAACTAGAAAAATCTCTGTGGCTCCTCAGAAAGCCAAATAACAATAAGTGAATAAAGAGGACATGTGGCATCTTCCCATTTATAGAAAGCCAGACTAAACAAAGGCATCTGGAGATACTAGTTACAGCAGGTCCATTTAGTGACCGTTTAAGCTCTCTGTGCCTCAGTTGGGATGCCATCCCAAGGCTGTGAAACTGCTAGTATTTTACACGTGGCTTGTTATATACACCAGTGCAACATTGTGCAGAGTGTTTGGAAGGAAGAAGGGCAACACTTAGAGGCCATTAAAAACTGTTAACAGCACTCTCCATGTCGTGGACAAAAAATGTGAGTATTGTGTAACGTAAGTGAAAACAATGGGCTAGACCAACACACTGAACAGTAGTAACCACAGAACACAGACCTCCTGAGCCTCTGGAAACAAACCAAGACTCTTACAGGTACACTGTACAAAGCACATTTTGACTCTTACCACTTAACTAATGTTACCTAGTATGTTAAAACAGCAGAAGCTTGACTTTAATTTGAGATGCAGCTAAAGTTGAGTTCTAGGTTGACACTTAATACAAGCCGCTTACCTGAACTAAGACCATGTGGATCTTCATTCCGAATTTTTTGGGAACAGATTTCTTTCTGTACTACAGACATATACTTTATGGCCAATCATCCCTAGAATGCTCGACTAATTCTAAGGAACAATGTGGTCCTAGAAATGTCACAACTCCAACATAACCAAGCATTGAAGAATGATGCATTTTGACAAGTCAGGAAACACGATGAAGCTCTGAACTAGTGGCAACTTCCCATAGGTCTTTCCTATCACATTTTAAAACCTTAAGATGATATTGGAAGTAATTATTAATCTCATCAGCTGGTGGTACTAAATCATCAGGACCAATTTTCCACTTAGTACATCGTTGTCTAGCTCTAAGACTCAAAATCAAATCACAGCTGCATTGCTCTGCTATTGTCAACAGCACAAAACGAAGAGTTCAAGCTGCCACTTGTTTGACACGGCCTCCAAAACTTGCTCATCTCCTTTACGCTTGACCAAGGGTCCCACTGCCGCTTGGCTCATGAGGCTGTTTTTCCCCCAGGTCTGTCTGAGTATCTCAGAGCAGATTCTTTCTACAGAATGACAAGTGATGCTGAAGGGCAGCTGGTTCTCCAAAAAGCCAAACCAACAGAAAGGGTAGTAAGTTCAAAGCCATGGCATTAGACAATGGGATCTACAAATGAGACTTTTTATAAAGCCATAACAAATAACTGTCAGACCTGCATAGTTTTCCATCCTTACTGAAATTTCCATATATCTACAAATCAAAGAGTTTGAAAACCACTGCTCTAGAGCGATTAGGGTCACTACAACTCTTGCGAGCCAGACCCCGTGCAAGTTCATTCCTGTACTTTACAGGGGAGTCTCGAGCATGTGCCCCGGCATGAAATAAGTATTCACAGCCTTTATGGCAAGCTATGTGCAATCCAGTTCCACGTAGCACAGACTTTATTTCCAAAGTTTTTCCAACTGCAGCAGAAAGTGTTTCACTTCCAAGGCAGTTGTACCTGTGTATAGTCCTCCCATAAAAGTGGGTGCGAAGGGCTGCACGTGGATATAATACTGCTTAACACAGAAGTTTAGGGGATAATGTATTTCTCTGAATTGGTCAGTATCTTGTCAGTGGAAAACATGTTTAAATGAAACAGTGCTCAGACAAAGGCCTACAGAACTTTCTTCTTCCCTTCTTTATCCTCCTCAAAAGATCGTAAGCCACAGGGAATATTTTTGCGGCTAGGTAACAGTAGACAGCAGCCTTCACAAGCAAAAAGCCTGGTTACAGTCAGAGTATTATGAAAACACTGTAAAACAATTACACTGTAAAAGTGTAATCCCCTCCACGTGTAAGCCGTTGTAAGTGCCCATGAAAGGGAAGAATACTGGAATGAGAGAACGAACACAGCACAAAAACAATGTCTCCAAGGAGGTATAAAAGCACATTAACTACTCTGCAAAGTCAAAATCCTTGTAGCTAAGTCTTTTAAAAAAAAAACCAACAACCTGAACACACACAACACTAAACTAAAACGAAGCATTCCTCTGAAGTTCTACTTGAGGCAAATAGCCCATAGCCTTATTTACAGCTACACAAGCACCACAGTTGCTAAGAGCCCCTCAGTACTGAGCACGAGTTTTATGTTTCTTCAGCCAAAATTCAGCTAAGAGAGAACCAGTGGCCTGGTAAGGGAACAATTTATGCCCAGTCTGAGATACCTAAAATGTAATTTTAGTAAGTGCTTCTGACTCACTAGAGTTGAACCTGTACTTTTGTAAGCAGGAATTCAGAGATTAAGGGGGTTCTCAGTCATGAGTTTGTTTTAAGCAGATTCTTCTTACCACAAAGACAGAACTGAAGCAACAGAAAAAGCTAGATGCTAGGATGTTAATTGCATCACTCCCTCAATTTCTCCTTTCATAAAATAAAGGTAACTGGTTATGTGCTTTTGTTAAACTGATTCAAACCTGACCTACATTTTTATAGAGACGAAGAAAATGCTGTTTGGCCTGTCAAATCTCACTTTAAGAAAAAGACTTGCTTTTGAACAACTGAAGGCAGTTAAAGTAGTTTTTATGAAAAATATTGAAACATTACTGCAGAATTTATTAATATAAGATATTAAAGTTTATATTATGATGAAGCTGCCAACCTTGCCCTAATCTACCTGAAATAGATTTAGTTCTGAACAAAACTGAAACCTACTAAGGATTGTCTTGCTTAAGAATTTTTAGAAGGTGCATTACTTAGGTTTTCCTCACCTTAAACTTTGTTCTGTGTCAAAACAGCCATATTGTTCATCTTCTAAGGAAAGATACTAGAGTACCACTGGGTCCATCTCAACATCTTTCCCAGTCTACAAGCTTACCAGATTTGGTGCAGAAACTCAAGTCTCACAGCGATTCTCATATCAATGTACTTTCAGAACTGCTGGGCAAGTGATCCAGCGCTGCAGTGAGCAGGCTGCACTTACAGGAGCTTGCAGCAAATGCAGCAGCATATGTACTCAAGGGAGTCAGAAGCATCCTCCTTCCTGAGCCAAGCCCATAGCTTTCACTTCACACCTCATTAAAAGTTCCTAATTCATTGCAAAAGCAAGCAGGAAATCCCTGATGCAGTCAGCCATGGGCAGTGCAACTCATGCATGGGCTAAACCTTCCCCTACCCCACAAGGCAAAGGCAACAGGGTACAAGGGCCATTCCTCACCTTCCCAGAAGCTGGAAGCAACAATTTCCCAGAAGCTGGAGCACAATTATCCCTTACGCTCCCCCTACTTCTCATTTCCTGAGAAGTAACATGAGAAAGTGTGGCTCCAGAGAACCTCATATAGTTTTTAATTATTAATAGGGTGCAAGAACAGGGAAACTAGAGGAGACAAGGACAGAAAGTACCTGCCAAGAATCTCCCTATGCTCATTTAGTCCTACATGTGTACAGTTAACAATGTTGCTCCAGACTAACGGGTTTTACATGAAGTATTATTCAGTAAAGGCTGGCTAAAGATTGCATGGCTAAGAACAGGAAGAGCTGTTCTAAGGAAACAAGTGTACTATCTAAGGCTTAGATAACAGCAACTGCAAGACAGGAACATGAGAAATGTTGGACTAGAGAACGAAGGACACAACAAGATAGCTGAAGAAACGCACCCATATTCAACAGCTGGAAGTAGACTGATAATACTTGCAAGAGCTCTAAGTTTCAGGGAGGAACATTAGAAAAGCCTCACACATTAGTAAGACAGTGAAGTACTCTGCTCATTAACAGAAGATGGCACAGGTACAGAGATTTTACTGGTTTCAAGGAAGGAAAATTGGAGAGGCTAATAAAATGTACTGCTGTTATTTGGAATGGAAGCTTGGATAAAGCAGGAGTTAAACCCACTTTGTCTTTTTGAGCAGCGTAGTCTCAAAGCTTGGATTCTACTGTTTACAGAACACAAAAGCCTAGCAAACAGATGGGGGAAAATAATATCCCTGTAACCCACTCCAAATCCCCCAAACTCCTGTCATGAGATGCTAACAGAAAAACCCAACCATTAATACCATTTGAGCCAGAAAAGCAGAAGACAGTGTAGATTATACTGTTGTGTAATTTCCTTGCAGAAGTTGTTTTGAGTTGAAGTAGATCCACCTAACCAAGTCCTTTTGCACACATATCATCCATCCAGTATGGTTTTAGATAACATATATCACATATTAAAGAGGCAGCTCTCATTTTCACACATAAATGCTGAAGCAGCAAAATTAAAACAATTAATTATTTTAAAGGTAAACATGAACACACTAAAACATTTTTTTTTGTAGTTGAAATCACTTTTATTTGTGAGGAACGTCACCCATGCTGCACAGTTTCAAATAGATCTTACCAAGGAAAGCGGAAGTTTCTCCTCCCCATGTCCTGCAGTGTACAGGACTCGCACAGAAAAAAAAACAACTCATCACACCTGGGAGGTTTAGCACCAGCATCCAATAAAAAAAGCATTTGATTTCAATTTCAGTTCTTTGGTTGGGTTTTTTTTTCCCTTTTCTGTTTGATACCAAAAGAAAAATTGAAAAATTCAATACTAGTGAAACAGTGAAATTCTAAAAAAAAAAATTCCCCACAGTTGCTGTTGGAACTGGGGAGGTTGCTCTTTCTGAATCTCGCTCTCTTTTTCTCTCTTCATGCATCTATCTTGCAGGCGTTCCCTGGATCTCAGCTGCTGGTAATTTTTTTTCTTTTAAGTTCCGATGTTTCAAATCTTTGCTTTTGCCATCACTGTTGACAATTTATTGCTTGAGTGTTTCTTTGGTGTTACTTTTGAGTTGTATTTTAGGACACCTGTTGAAGAGCCAAATTTAAAAAAAAAGACCACATTTTACTTTTAAGTTTCATTTTCCTGTTGAAGAGGTGGGATGTCAGTTGGAAAGGGCATTATCACAACAACAGACAGGATAAGCATCACTGGCTTATCCTATCTGTAAACTGAGACTACAGTATCTTCCTAAAGCAAAACATTACTACCTCATCAGCAGACGCTATTGCTATATAGACCAGAGAGATCTTCCTGAAAAATCAGATTGATAAAATAAAGTTTACTTTGTGACAAATACAGACACAAAGGCAGAGGACAGAAAGAAGAGAAGGCAGCAAACAGTTCCTTGGTCTGCCTATACAGCACTCTCAGAAGTTATCACAAATACCCAGTCATACACTAAGGGGATGTGGCCAGAGTCCAAGCCCTGGAAGTATACTCAGAGCTGCTTCAGTCAGAGAACAGCAACTATCTATATTCCTTACCTGAGGGATGGTAAAGGTGCCTTGGGAGCCGGACATTACTCAGCACCACTCTGCTCGGTCACTGGAGCAGGATTTTCAGCAGGTGTTTCAGTCACCTTTGTCTGAGACAAAAGAAACCTTTATTACAGGCAAAGACTGACCTCCAGACCCTTCTTCTGTTCAGTGGCAGGGCCAGGCTTTAAAATAATCAAGGAAGACGAACCCTTAGACAATATTAACTATAGGAAATACACTAAAGCTTAAGTGTTACACAGCAGATTCTGTCAGGGGAACACCTCAAGTAGATAGATCTAGAGTGAGAAAGTCTTTCCTCATTAAGGTAAAAACATGTTTGCAAACAGTTCCCTGAAATCATCTGGTTCAAGCAGTTCAGGAAATGGGTCGGGAGCTTTCAAATCCATCTCATACTGCTACATATAGACTGAAGGTTTGAGGAAGCTGGAAAACACAACTGTTTCTCTCTACTTCAAAGATACTTGTTACAGTCTGACCCCAATTAAGAACAACCCAGAAGCAATCCCTATCCCACTGCTGGTTCCATTTAAGATAAACTGCTTGTTCTGAAAGAAGTTCAAACAGGCAGTGAAACCAGCTAGTTTCAACCATCAGCACTTTGGACTTCGCCATCAGACTCCTCCAGCACACCGGCAATACTTGTCAAAACTTGTTAAAACTCCCACAGGCCAGAAGGTCTTGAACACTCACCCCATCAAAACTCTGTCTCTGCCACATTTTGCCAGGAGCATGCTTACCTCTTTCCCATCCTGAGCTGGAGCATTGGGTGGACGAGGTCGACGCCGGTAGTTGTATGGGCGCCTATACCCACGGCGAAGTGGCTGCTGACTCATAGCATTGGCCTCATGATGGTTCTCTTTGTTTTCGGCCTCTCCAGCCACTGGGGCAGGGCGTGGACGCGGGGGCCCTCTGAAAAGGGGGAGAAATGTGTGTGTTAATGTATGAGAGAAGGCCGTGAAGGTTAAACTACCATAATTTTAGCCCAGCAAAAACCTCTCTGATCACCTATAACAATTTTGAATACTAGCAAACCATCCCTTTGGAGTTCTACTGGTGTACAGTTAGAAGAGAAGGACCTTTTCACTGGGTTAGACAAGCAACCTGGGTGTCTCTTCACTGCTAGAGCTACATCAGCATATTCTGCTGTCCATCCTACAATACAGAGCTAGGAAGTCCATTTGAATTTCTGTCTAGGAGAAGAAACAAGGCAGTAGGGGCCACAAAGGCTGACTCTGCCAAATTAGCCTTGGACTTGCTATATGCCAGTCCAGGCCCATTCACAGTTAATGGTGTGATCCCTGGGATTGCAATTCCACCTGTAAACCATTCCTCAATCTTCCCTCTTTGCCTTATGTTGCCCCTCTTGACCACATATGAAAGCATAGCATGTCTCAGTTAGACAAGTTGGACCTCATTTACACCAACACATTCATGACATGGTGAGATCTCTGGGATTGCTTATTCAAAAGAAGACAGAAGCTTTTGGTTTGGAACTACAGTATATGGTCACATCTCAAACGTGTGAATACATGCTACAGTCTACAACTATGGTCTACAGCTTCCTCAAGGGAGGTGGTGAGGAGGGAGGTGCTCATCACCTCTCTCTGGTCACCAGTGACAGGACACAAGGAAGTGGAATGAAGCTGCATCAGGGGAAGTTCAGACTGGATGCTAGGAAAAGGATCCTCATGGAGAGGGTGATCTGTCACCAGAACAGGCTCCCCAGGGAAGCGGTGACGGCACCAAGCCTGTCAGAGTTCAATGTGCATCTGGATGATCCTCTTAGTCCCACTCCCTGCTCCTTGCAGAACTACCTATAACTAAACTATACGACTATGATCCTTACGGGCTCCTTCCAACTTGAGATATTCTAGGGTTCTATGATCTATCAAGTCCATGTTCCTGAAGTATGCAAGAGCATTTCATCCCATTTCCAGTATAAACAGTTATGTTTATAAACTCTCAAAACACAGCCGAAAGTCATGACAAAAATCACTGCCTACTACCAAGTTACCATTAGCTGGTTTAGCTAATTCACAACTACCCAATCCCAAAACCCAATTGAGCTTTTCTAAATAAATCTAACATAAAAGCACGAGTGTCACTGAATTTAGTGCATGCAAATGCAAGCCAATACCTATCTTAACTGAAAACAGAAACATTCTGCACTCGTATTGGATACAGTAAGCTATCATACATCTTACAGGGAAAAATGCATCAGAAATGCATAAAATTACCATTAGCCATGAGCAAGTTATCCTGCTCATTTCACCCACATGACATAAAAAAGTTCAGGTGCCTCACTGTACTTGGTGTGGTGCTATTCCTGACTGCCCAATGCCAATGAACACTTTCAGGAATAAAATTTATTCTGCTCAGATAGCAAGCAGCAGCATCAGTATTACCTCATTTCCCACAAACCTAGATAAGAGAGCCAGCTTTAGCACAAACATTCACAGATAGAAAAGCTCAGAGTAGAGGTGGAAGGCTTGTGGTTCTAGACCCAGCATCAAGAAGGATTTTGCATGGAACAAGTAGTCATTACAGTTAAGGACAGTCTTGCTATTCCTATGAAACTCAGCTTCTTGTTGCTCTTGCGCTGTTAGTTACCTCTTGCTGGTTTTGAGCAAACATGCATATGAAAAACTGGGGAATACATCTATTTCATAGTTTCTCTAAATTCAATGTTGGAACTTGACCTCTTAAGCTAGTTGATAGAAAGACAAGGACAATATGAAGAGGAGCAAGTGATCAAGTGGCAGATTAATACAAATCAGCTCCTTGAGAGCAGAATTGTAGAATGGTTTTGGCTGGAAGGGACCTTTAAAAGGTCATTTAGTCCAACCTCCCCTGCAACAAGCAGGGACATCTTCAACTTGGTCAGGCTGCTCAGAGCCCCCATCCAACCTGACCTGGAACATTTCCAGGGATGGGGCATCTACTACCTCTCTGGGCAGCCTATTCCAGCATTTCACCACCCTCATTATAAAAAAATTCTTCCTTACATTCAGTCTAAATCTACCCTCTTTCCATTTAAAACCATTACCCCTTGTCCTATCACAACAGGCCCTGCTAAAGAGTTTGGCCCCATCTTTAAGTACTAAAAGGCCACAATAAGGCCTCCCCAGGCCCCAGGAGCCTTCTCCAGGCTGAACAACCCCAACTCTCTCAGCCTTTCCTCACTGGAAAGGTGCTCCAGCCCTCGGATCATTTTTGTGGCCCTTCTCTGGACACATTTCAACAGGTCCAGGTCTTCCCTGTGCTGAGGGCTCCAGAGCTGGACACAGTACTCCAGGTGAGCTCTCATCAGAGCAGATCAGAGGGGCAGAATCACCTCCCTCAACCTGCTGGCCACACTGCTTTTGATGCAGCCCAGGGTACAGTTGGCCTTCTGGGCTGCAAGCACCCATTTCCGGCTCATGTCCAGCTTTTCATCCACCAGTACTCCCAAGCCCTTCTCCACAGGGCTGCTCTTAATCCCTTCATCCCCACAGCCTGTATTGATACTGGGGGTTGCCCCAGCTCAGGTGCAGGACCTTGCACTTGGCCTTGCTGAACCTCACAAGGTTCACATGAGCCCACTTCGAGTTTGTCCAGGTCCCTCTGGATGGCATCCTATCTCTCAGGCATGTCAACAGCTTTGTGCCATCTGCAAACATGCAGAGGGTGCACTCAATCCCACTGGCTATGTCAATGATGAAGATATTAAACAGTACTGGTCCCCGTACAGGCCCCTGAGGGACACCACTCATTACCAATCTCCACCTGGATATTGAGCTGTTGACCACTACTCTCTGGATGTAACCATCCAACCAATTCCTTATCCACCAAACAGTGCACCCATCAAATTCACGTATCTTCCATCTGGAGAGAAGGGGACCATGTCACAATACTTTACGAAGAACAACAGTGAAAGTAATCCAGTGTTTTATTTAACTTGTCACTCATTCTCCAAGATAAAACAAGTCACAAGAAGCCAAGAATCTGAACAAGCTTTTCCACTTAAATTAATTCAATTCAAAAAAAGAAAAGTGAGGCAACATCTCAAAAAGTATGGTAGTCAGAGGCTGACTATTTCACACTGGTATTTTTAACTGCACTAAATTCCTCAGCTGTGGAATTTTTCCCTCAGCATAGAGGCTGGAAGCTAGAGTGGTCATTTCAGACCTAAGGCTGGAAAATGAAGAAAACAATCCTACACTGGCCAGTTTAAAGTATGACTAACAGAGATGACTCAGCAACTTACTCCACGTATCCCACGGGAAAGCATCAGTGTTCATGTGAACTCCATGGGATCTTTGCTAAGAACACAAGAATGGCCTACTGGGTCTTTGAGTATCCATTTATCCCAGTTCTATGGATCCCTAGGGAAAAATAAGGGCAAGGAAACCTGCTTCCCAAATAGCCTCTAAGCCTCCAGTTTTTTTCCCCACACTGGGGATTTCCTGAGCCAGGCAGAGTTTGCCCATTTAGAAATATTACAGTGGTGCTCTCTTCTAGCTATTTGACAGTCTCCCCCAAGCTCATGCAAGCTTTTAATATCTCTGATACCCATGGCAAAAAGTTCCAACAATCTGCTGCATGCATGACTCGAGTCAGCAACCTGAACATGAGTCAGCAGTGCACCATTGCAGCAAGAAAGGCAAAAATGGATCCTGGGCTGCATCCACAGAGGCATTAGCAGCAGAGAGATGTGAACATCCCACTCTACTCAGCACTTATCAGGCTGCACACCTGCAGTACTGTGTCCAGTTCTAGTCCCCACAATTAAAAAAAAAAAGAAGGCGGACAGACTGGATATAGTCCAAAGGAGGAACATTATGATCAAAGGGCTAGAGAAACTGACCTATGAGGAAAGACTGAGGGAGTTCAGTCTTTTCCTCCCAGAAGGAGAAAAGACTTGGAGGGGGGGAAGGGGGTAAAGGAGCTCATCACAGTATTCCAGTACTAAAAGTGCAGCTACAAAGAGAACAGAGTGTGCTCTCTTCACAGGAACCCACAAGAAGATGAGAGGCAACAGGTACAAGTTGCACCAGGACAGGTTTTGTCTTGATTGGAAGACTGAAAGTGAGCAGTCATTCACTGGAATAGCATCCCCAGGAATGTGGTAGAGTCCCCATCACTGAAGGTTTTCATTATGTGATTGGACAGGGTGCTAGATGAGATTATCTAGGTTCCCTTTCCCCACAAAAAGTTTGTCCAGATGATTTTTTGAGGTCCCTTGCAACCTGGGCAGTTCTACAAAACTCCCTTTGTTTTTCAGCATGTCTTCCTCATCCTTCATTTGAAGGCTCCTGATAAAAGAATGCTATGAGAAGAAAAAGCAAAACCAATTTCATCCATCCTTTCCATGCCACTCATTACTCTGAGGGCCTCTATAATCTGTCTTCTTTTGTCTCTTCTCCCAGCCTCAGAGTCCTCAGTCACTTCCACTCTTCACACATTCCCCCCCCCATCCTTCAGTCATTTTGATGAGTTATCATTCTGGAAGCTCTGCAGTCTCTTTAGCACCCCCTTTCTCCAAAAGTTCTAGCAAGAGTAACTCTAATAATCCTATTTTGTTAACTTATACTTTTAGGAGCCCTCAAGAAACCTAAAATTTAAATCCTGACTGACAGTAATAACGTCCACTAGCACAGGATACTACAAGGTAACAATAATGCTACCGTATAATCTAATGGCCTGTAAGAGACAGGACACAACTTCAGTTTTTAGTGAACAGCAGGCTTTCCTCTGTACCTGCAAGTAGCACCAGCGCATAAAACCAAGCCTGTGTGATACATAGGACTGAGCTGGATCTGCACAAGCTGCTAGTCCAGTGCTGAACTGTAGACTACTGTCTGCAGTCCACAGAAGAGTTATAAAGCAGGCCTGCCCCTGCAGATGGTGGACCTACCTGTCCCAGATCAAGTGAGATTTGGAGCCATTAGTTGTCCAGGAAAAGTGCAAGAGTTTAGGTGGGAAGACACAGACCCTGCAACTCACTTCAGTATGTTGCTCAACCATGAGAAGTAATAGGATACAAAGAATTCTTTGCCCTATCTTGACCTACTCCTGGCTCTGAGCAATACATAAGCACACTGAACAAATTCTACAGTTGTTTCCTTACTCCTGTGGCTCACTTTTCTCCTAATAATTAAAATGCTTCTCACTGTCCCTATCATTTACATGCACATCAATGCCAGGGAATACAGCTTCCTGCTCCTAATGAAGCCTCTACAGATCACAAAAGCATCCAAATGTAATAATGAGCAAAGGAAATAGTACAAACCTGCGATAGCGGGGACGATAGGTAGGATTCCTATGAACTTGTTGATGAAGTTGTCCTCCTTCTGTGACCCCATCCTTGATTTCTCCCTCAACACCCTACAACCAAAAGAAAACAGAAGACAGAGTCAACAATGGAGCATTATCCTATTTCATGGGCAGTGTATTAGCTATAAAGCCCAGTGATCTGAACACAAGTTCAAACACAGTGTATCAGTACAGAAACATCAGCTACCAGGTAAAAAGCAGCAGCAGATACTCAAAAGGCTTTGACTTGGGCAAAGATAAGAGCAGGACAGAACAAAAGCCAATAATGCTGCCCTTGTCCTCACAGCAACAGGCTAAGAAGCTACCTGATGATGCCTCCTCCCTCTCTGCCAAGAAAGGCACAGAACCCGACAGCTGACACATATGGAAGTGTGTTTCACGACCTGACATTGCATTGCAAAGGGGTAAAAGTGTTATGAGGAGGCAGCTATTGATCAGGATACTTCTGAATTTGGAAAGCTAATTGAAAGACATCACGCTGAAACTTGCCAGAGACCACTTCTCACTTCATTCAGTGTAATGCTCCATTCCACAGAGAACTCCCACAAGAACATGAAGAAATTTAGATAGAAGAACTGTACTACATCATGCCAAGTACTCTCCTACACACTCAGTTTCAACCTTTCAGAGACGCAGTGGTTATCTTTTCCCTTTAGTTGTTAACTGATAAAGCTGTATTCCAGTTTGGCGGTTTTTTTGTTTTGTTTTGGTTTTTTTTTTCCTAGCTTATTGTTTTGTTTCATTCTGGTTTTAAATGCCAGCCACCAGTAAGGTCTGCTTTATGAAGCATTACATGATTTACAGTTCCCACTGTACTATTCTTCCATTTAGAAGAAGGAATTTAACAAGATAACTGGAAACAGAAGTGCATCTTCTGCATCTGATCCTGTAGGAAACAAAAGCTATTGCTTCCTGACAGCCTTCAGTAGTCTACATCAAGTTTGACAGGTCTCCTTCCAATTCTACACAACTATTTTAACCACCACCACCACATTTTGCTCTATTTTAACTGGCAGCCTCAGGTGGGCAGTGAACTTTTCTTTAGCTAAGATAACATGATGATAAACATTTAGAAAGCTAGAGTGTTGTAACGAGAGCTGGAGTTTGTTACAAGAAGTCTTGGTGAATGAAATGAACCTCAGTAGCCAACCTGGACAATCTTCTCCTCTCACCACACTAGAATACCCCTCAAATGCATTAATAGTTTCAGACACTCTTTGTAGCTTTACAAGTTTCCAAAGCACAGACACATGGCTGAAGGCAACTGGAGTATTTCACACGTTGCACCTAGAAATAGCTATACCAGCTATTCTTAACAATATGACAGGGTCAGCTGCTGAGGTAAGTAGAGAGAGATCAGAACTCAATTAAAAACTCACAGTCATAAATAGCATTATCCATTATGTTTTCTCATGTATAAAACTGATCAGGATAACTAAATACCCACAGTAACTCCCACTGGCTAAGTAGATATTAGTAACAGGTAGCATCTGATAGCAGTTGAGAAGTATTTGAGCGACTCCGAAAAGGAAAATTACACTTCTGAGTTTCTAACAGCGTTATAGGACTTATGCCTTTGCAATACCAGTCTGCCCTGTTTGTATCAAGGTGCTTTGTACTACGTAACTTTACAGTTTAATAGACCTGTGATGGATGGTCAGAAGCGTCTCAGACAGCAAGGTGAGAAATAGCACCACCAGGGTTGTGCGTGCCAATAATGACTCAGGGGTCTCAGGATTTGCCTTTTCTGAAGCTGTTCCTGCTCTCATTCTCTCGCACATGAGGACAGGCAAAGCACAGAAACAGAGATCAACAAGATGGGAAGGGGAGAGAGGACGCAAAACTAAAACAAGCCTGAACATGTTCCAGCATAATCACCATTTCTCTTCTCCAGGATTTCTGAGCAAGCACATGTGGAATCAGCGCTCAGTTCTAGCACTGCAATGCCAGAAATACGGAACTGCAAAGGCCTAGAAGGTCTTGTCTGAGGGGCAGTGTGCCAGAAGCTAACCAAGCATCAACCAACCTAATTGTAGGGAGGGGCACACAACAATGTTTTCATCTGCGAAAACTCTCCTATAGCTCTTGCCAATCGGCATCACGTTCACAGCTCTTTAAAAGGCAGTACTGAATTTCTACATGTTTATTAATGGTACAGCCCAAGTCCACTCCTCCCTACAGAGGGCTGCATTGGAATCTCAGATAAAAGACTCCATCTCTTCTAACATCAGCAAGAATGACTAAACCTGATGAAGCATTACTTGAAAGCAATGTAAACTGTTTCCTATTCATCTTGAACTGAATGTTGTTGTGTCAGTATTTTAAGTGGGTCTAAACAATCAGTTGAAAACAGAATAGCAAGGCAACTGAATTGCTTAGTCCAGAAGTCCTCATAATTCCTCCACCTCCTATAGTATCACAAAAATTCAATTAATGCATTATATTAGTGCCACTGTTAATTGATCTAGGTTTACTGGCCAGAATCATTTAGGTTGGAAAAGACCTTTAAGATCATCAAGTCCAACCCTTAACCTAATCCTGCCATCCCACCACTAAACCACGTCCCTAAGCACCTTGTCTACCTGTCTTTTAAATACCTCCAGGGATGGGGACTCAACCACTTCCCTGGGCAGCCCGTTCCAGTGCCTGACAGCCCTTTGGGTGAAAAAATTCTTCCTAATGTCTAGCCTAAACCTGCCCTGGGGCAACTTCAGACCATTTCCTCTCGTCCTATCGCCTGTTACCAGGGAGAAGAGGCCGACCCCCACCTCACTACAGTCTCCTTTCAGGTACTTGTAGAGAAGAGAAGCAGCGAAGAATGGCTCCAGAATAAAACAATTATATTGTCAGAAATCACTGAAACGGATACAATTTGACCAGAAAACAGAACCTGAGCTCTGAGGTCTTGTTTTACTATACTGAAGTGTATTAGAGTCATTTATTAGGAAAGCTTCATTTATACTCTTAAGGCACCACACCACGTTGAGCACACACATGATCCTGTTAACTTGATCTCCTCCACAGGAACCTTCCAACAAAACATTAGGTCCTAAGATACAAATGCTGCACTCTACATTTTCTTCTGAAGACGACCAAAATAGCAGGCAGGGCTGTGATTCCCCATGAAGATCTCGCACAGATTTCTCCAACCCTAAAAAGGTACAAAATTTTATTGCTGTCCCCCCAAAAGTTTTGTAAGCATTAACTGTAACTGCAATGAGCTTTTTACCTATTTGCCTCCCCCAATTTCTTAATTTGTTCTTACATCTCTGGAGTCAGTCTCTAGCTTCCATATAATACTATTCATCTTTTCAGATCTCCTCTCTACAAGAAATAATGTCAGCCTATAAAGCAGCTCTCAATTATTTTCTGACTCACTGGTATAGAGGCTTCTTCTATTAGTAAGGCACACAATACGTATGTGAGAACATTGTCGTTCTCAAGGTTACTCCACGATTCATTGTCTGTTCTAACATTCTGACTACAGCTCCACACTGTGTCCACGTTGTCACAGTTTAGTGAAGAGCACAGCCTCTTTTCTGTAGTAGATACTCGTATCAGAAATTTCTTGATTGTAAGTACTTCTCCTTTCTGCAGAACTCTCCATGCAATCCAGACGAAGTTCCACTGGAGCTGGTTAAATACCTCAAATTCTTCAGGGCTCTCTTCTCTTGAGAAATTCACACAGTGTGTTCAAAAGCAGACCCCAGTAAGTTACACACAGTACGGGCACATTTGAGCTAGCATGGCAAATGATAACATCTTTAGCTTGCCTAAAACCATGCCAGTCAGCTGCATAAATATCCTTTCAACACACACAGCCCAGGAGTGCCATCCCATCAGCAACTCAAACTTGCCTCGGAAACATCCTGCAGGACAGTTAGCCAAAAACACTTCCTCAAGCAGAGAGGCACAGCCTTTAATGTACCTGTTAATGAGACCATACAGAATAGTATATACACACTGCTACAGCTCACAGACACTGCTACCTTTCTTCCCCTTTTACAGACATGGGAATGGAAGGGGAAAGAGGAGGCCTTGTTAAAGGAAAAGGGTATTAGGAAGAAGCACCTTTCTAAATGCAGTAGACAAGCAGCTTCAGTGTGAAGAATGTGTTAGCTGATGCAAAAAGAAAATCTCCAAAAGGAAATACTGATACCTTCAGAGGAAGATTCACTCTACTCTCAACTGAACTATCGAAGCAAGCACACAGGGGATAACATGAGTATCTGGACAAGTTTCAAGTGGTTTCACTGACCTACACTAGGACAACTTCAGGGACAGTCCCTGCACAGCCCTTTGTGGTCCCTGCAAAGGCTTCCTTAAAGTGGAGCTTTGACTTGTGAAGGCAACTAATAGGCAAGCGGGTAAGAAGGCCCAGCAGAACTGGTTACACCTCAAACTAGCTCAGAAGACAAGAAGAGTCCATTGCAACATGCAGAAAGTTGAGCAGGCATAGCAGAACGTCAACTCTGGGTGCACAAGGAACTTCTGACTGAGCTCAAACATGAAAAGGAAGTATCACTTAAACAAGTCTTACACATACAAGACTATGATACTACAAAGGATACATTTGAGAGTGCTGAAAGAGCTGGCCAATGTCACTGCCTGGCCAGTATCATCTTTGAAAGGTCACAGCAATCATGGAGTTTACCTTGTTACCTGTTAAGAGTGGCATCCTAAGGGAATGGTACTATAAGGTCTTCATCACCCTTGAATGAAACAGAATTTACTCTTAATTTTAAGAGATGATACCAAATCCAGAGAGGCAGTCAACACATTGATGGGAAAGCCTGACATTCAGAGGATACTCAACAAGCTAAAGAGAAGGACCAACAAACCTCATGAACAATGGGAAACAGTGAACATACATATTAATGTCTTTTTGTGAGTTACCATTTGCAAGTTTTGAAGGCTATAATTCTTCCAGAGTCAATTATCCCAGAGAAAGAGCAATATGGTTTATGTTATGGAAGGAGAGATGACTTCATAGGACATCAGGCACTAGTCACACAACAGCTATGGTCTGGTACCCATACCCCATCAGTCTGGGAACGCAGATATAAGCAAGCCAAAGGAAAACAGCGTGAAACCACAATTTGTTCCCCTTGTACACATACAAGCCTTAAGCACCGGGATCCAAGTGTGCTATAGTATCAGATGCAAGCCAGATTTTTAGCTGCATGAGTTTGCATTAGACATACAAGAGAACATGTCCCAGCATGAGTACCCTGAGACTAAATGTTCCCCATGTCCAAGTTGGGTCTCACGTTATTACTCTTCAGGCAGAAAGAAACAGCTGCTTTCCATACTCAGCAGTACACAGGGCTGTCTAAGCCTGGATATGGCTGCTCATTTAAAAATCAGAAGCAGCTACAAGACAAACACCAATACCACCAACTAAAACATTCACTCCCAGTAAAGACAGTTGAGGGAGATTTTAATCTCAGAAAAGCAAAAAGAAACAGAATCAATATTGGAATATAGCTGGTTGATGAGCTAACAGATGAGACTGGAAACATCAAAGCACTGAACAAAACCAAGTATCCTAGTTCTTTGCAGCTTCAGCTTTCAGGCCAAGTGGCAAACTGTATCGTCACAAAACTGAAGACATACTCAAGAATAAGCTATCAGTTACCAGCACCAACTTCTAGCCATCTCCAAGGGATTCTGAAAGAACAGCTTTCGCATATTTAAGGCTTGGTGGTGTTCAGGAGGATTAAAGAAAAGAGCTCATGATAGCTAGTACAAATAGCTAGGTTTTAATGAAAGGTTTGACAGCATTCTGTTTGTCCCCATGCTGTCAACTCTGTAGAACAAGATGAGAAGAGCATTATGTTGCTTGGGCAGAGACTCTCTGCCATGGCTCTCATATTAGATCATTCACACATTTCTGCAAGTGATGATCACAGGCTCGACTACTAAAGAAAAGCTAATAAAGCCTGGAGTATGTTCCAGTTTGTTGGATTGTTCCAGGCACCAATTTAACACGAACATGATACGGACAGGAGTGCTAACTGCTAGAACTACAGCCATGTACCTCATACATACTTCTCCCTCTGCAAAAACTTGCAGGGAAGCTGCTTAGGAAGGCTTGCAGATGTTATGTGCAGTGGTGTGTAGCTAGTTTAAAGAAAAAAATGCATCATCTTTACACAGAACTGCTATAGGCAGAGGCCTATGAAGGGATGATACAAGGAGGTTTCAACTAGTTGGTCAAATTACTACCATGCCATGCAAAGTGATGAACTTCTTAACAAATCCCATTTTCCAAATAACCCTTCCAAGTTATGGTTATACTACTTAGAGTAATATATATACTTCCCCTTGCTTCAGGTAAAGGGCATGGTGAACCACTTGGGTGTCTCACTCCTTTGTTTTACTCTTCAAACAAACAGGTACCTTAACACTCAAAGAGATGCTTTTAACGCATTCTAGAAAGATCTGCCAAGGAAGGGCCTACAGGACATCCAATAATAGAAAATATCAGTATCAACGTCAACAATGTGCTGGAGGAACCCAGAATATTACTGAAGAACACTCATAACTTAGTTAAGCATTGACAGTTTACTACATGCCAGTGCTGAACCTGTCATTCCCTCTCATGAGGGGATTGGGAGGCTTCTGAGGAGGTAGGATGACCACCACTAAAGAAATTAAACTTACACTTCGAGGTGGTCCACGGCGTCGGCCAAAATAGCCACGTCGATAGCGGCGCCGGTCTGCAGCATAGCGGCTGCCTTCTACAGGAACTCCATCTGGACCAGTGACATTAGCTGCTTCTGCACCCTAGAAGGCCAAAAGAAAGTAAACCAGGGTGGTGTGAGAAAAGAACAACCAGCTATAGGGAGAAGATGAAACAGGAAAGAGGCTTTTTTGCATGAGTTCCAAGCTACAGAGATTCCTTCCTCCCACATAGTGCAAAAGCAGGTTTGTTATTCTCAACCCCATAACCAAGTTATGGTCAGGAGTTAAAACCTTATCAGCCAGACTGAGTTCAGAGGAAAAAGCAAGCAACAACTTAAAGACACCACCATGACCCCTCCCCCCTAAAAAATAACCAAGAGCTCAGGAAACTAAAAAAAAAAAAAAAAAAAAAAAAAAAAAAAAACCAAAATGTTTGAGAAAGTAGAAGAGCAAAGAACTTGAAGGTTCTTACAGTTATTAAGCTACCAGACTCCAAGACAAATTCTTCAGGGCAATATATACCTCAGTTAATGATTATTGGGCAGGCTGCAAGCTTCATAATGCTCCACCAAGTAAAAATTACTCTAAAAGGACTAGGATGAAGTTAAAGTTTTGATACATATCTAGAAACACTTCTTAATGAAGCCTTTAAAACACAGATCTTCCACAGAAAAGCTGTATGAATACCACCCACCCCAGGGATTAATACATTAGACAGAAACACCAGATACACAGCTAGGGTTCTGTGTTACTCCCCACTAGAGTGATGTTAACCGTTGACTGTGCCCCTAAATTGCCATAATCTCACCTTCTCTCCCTCGACCACATCAAATTCTACAGTCTCTCCATCACCAACACTGCGCAGATATTTCCGTGGGTTGTTTTTCTTTATCGCCGTCTTTAAACAAAGAAGATAAAATAACACATTTTTCTGTATCTTACACATTCATAGGCCTATAGATGAGGGAAGGACAATATTCTTCTGCTACGATCCCAACTCTACACACCAGATCAGCCACCACACCAAGACATTTGAAATACATAGATGTCTCCCTTATTCCATAGGTACACCAATGCTTAGTCACGGTTTACTCCTTTCTTGGTACTTAGGAGTTTAGGAATCAGCTGTTGCCCCAGGATCCCCTCTGTCAAGCCTACTAAATATCCAGAACATTACATGTTTCTGCAGAGCTCACACTGAACGTGTGATCTCCTGCAAGCCATACTCCTGCAAGGCAGCTCCAGCAGCGTGACCCATGTCTTCACAGTTATTAGGAGACCTCTACACAGTCTACAGCAAATTTAAGACCAGGAGCATTTTTATAGAAGATGGCATTAACTACAAGGTATCATGGCAACTCATAGTAACTAGAGAATTACTAGAACTCCGGTGAAACATAAATAAGCATTTTACCTAAGCACTGTAAAGCAGACCCCCAAAAACTAGGCGGGTCCTTAAAGAACACAGGAACAGTAAAAGAACAGACAATCACAGTCTCAGTTATCCCCTAGACAGAAACCCCAGAATACTATTAACAACATGGCTTCAGATCAAAACCAGTTGAAAACCTCAGAATCACAGGAACACTCAAACCTCCTGGAGCAACTTTCAGCCTGTCAACTATGGATGCCTTTCACTCCCTGGAGTATCTCTAGGATTCCACAAGAAGCAGTTAGCAAGACGAGCCTGCTATCTGTTCATTAAGTAAGGGTTCACAAACTGAAGAGGGCAGGGGAGAAAAAAAACCAAACAAAACAAGCCAATCTAGCAGCCAGCTTTTTACTGAAGTTCTCTTAGATTATGAAAGACCAATTCACTGTAAGTTTCCTGATATGGGCATCTTTTGTTAGCATAAAGGAGGCAGGTGCAGACCCAGTAGACAGAAGCACACACAGAAACACAGGGCACAAATCTGGCTTAAGAAGTGGGATGCAGGGCAGAAACGGAAGAGACAGTTGTCATATCTCTCTGCAGTTCCAAACAGGCAGAATGAAGATCAGCAGAGTTGTTGCCAGTCCACAGCAACTATATTCATTCAGTTAACAATAGCCCAAAAATATTTCCTACTGAAGTTCTGCTCAGTTTAAAGTTGAGTTTGACCAGTTTAGGAAAAGTATTCTTACTGTTGCTGAATGCAGCCCCCTTTGTGTTTCAGGCAATAGGCAAGCAAGTCCTTTTAGCCCTACATCTAGCCACACCTTTCCCTGTACCCTGCAGCACCCCTGAACAGCTGAAGGAAGAATGCAAGAGTGTGCGTATTATTGCCACCAAAGCAAAAACAACTCAAGAGGTTTGTTGGGTTTGGTTTTTGGTTTTGGTTTTTTTTTTTTTGATACAGGAAGAGAATGAGCTGCTGAAGTGAATTGTTTTGGGAATTGCTTTACAAAGCAGAGACTCCCACCATGAGCTGAGACAGCTTTGTTTGCTTTCTGCTGACCTATTAGTGTAACTGCTCCATTTCTAAAATTAGCTGGAAGTGCTAGCTTTTCCATAAATGCTATATACCAATACTAAAAATCATTATCTTCCCTGAAGACCAAGGGTTTTCATTCTTTCACCCACCACTTGTACTGAGACAACTGACCCAAAAGCAAAACACAAGTCCTATGAGTTTGACAGAGATGTTAACAAGCTGTATTTTGAACTCGTTCCCCTTCCTTTAAGTGCAGAGGAAGAAAGGAATACCAGATTTCTTTTCAGTAGAGGGTGTACTTAAGATTAATCAAGCTCCTCAAACATCCTCCAAGAAAGGTAACAGAAGAAAAATTCCACAGGATTCCAAATGTTCTGCTCCAGCTTTATTGACAGAAACTTCAAAATTCAGATTTGTAATTGAGTAACGTGCCAGCAGGAGACAGAGGCTGCCACACAGTAGGCTTGATGTTTGTTTTATAAAGGCAACCAGAAACAATTTTGAGCAAGTCCTAGAATTCAGAGCAGAAACTATACAGCTTTACTGCTTACTACTTCAGCTGCAGGTAAACATTGCTGAAATAAGCCTCTAACAAGCCTAAGCCCTGAGTCTGATGAAAAGACTTTTACTCTGTATATCCAGAGGGGGAGAGCACACTATTCTCCCTGTTACTGTTCACCAGCATCCTGCAGGCTCCAGTTTCTGTAATTCAAAAGACAGATGTTTTGTGTTAACGCAGACAGCACTCAACAATTAAGACAGAGCCTTTCTTTTCCCAAGGGGACACTGATGAACAGACAGCTATTACAGTCTTTAGAACTAGTGCAGTATTTTGTTCAGAAAAGTTCTTTCTGTATCCTGATATCAGCACATCACATCCACTGAATTGTCACAGCAATAGCCAAAATTTGTTACACCAGTTACTGGTGCACGTACACCAGGCCGTGCACAATGAATACAATCCAGTGAAGTGAAGAGAAACAAAGGCCTGTGCAGCAGAAGAGATTAACTCCTCCTCACTGCTTGCGATTCAAACTGTGCCCAATTAAATTGGACTTCTCTGGCTACCAACACTCTTAATGGTGTTAAAGTTGTAAGACCCTCTTCTCCCCCCCCCCCAGCCACACTCCACCCCACAAGGCAATGGATCCCCACTGCTTGCACCACCTCGGACCGACACAGTGCCCTAAATAGCACCTTGCGCGAACCAACCAGGCAAGGATGCAAGCAAGACAAAGCAGGTGAAGAATTACCCTTCCCCAAAACACTGCTTGGGTCCCCCACAAGACAAAGGGTTAATTCAAAGCAAGCCATGCATGCCCTAAAGAGAAAAGCATTTTAATCTGTACTAGGTTTATAAATAGCATCCAATAGTCAGACACCTAGCATTAACCCCCATTCCAATCATGAGATCGGCCTGTTCCCTCCCCACTGCTGATGCATGCCGGGGAGGCAGGGAGGAAGCTGTATCTATTCAACTAGGTCAGCCTTATTCTGAAGGGATTAGGCATGTAATCCAGCCCCTCCCGGGACGGGCACGAGCAGGCAGGGCAGAAACGGCACTGAGCGTGGAGAGGGAGCTCACAGCAGGATGTTTGCTTACACAGTGGATTTGCCTCCCTTGCCGGGCGGGCCCCATCCTCTGGGCCTGCCGAGCCAAACACTTGGGCCGGAGCTCCAGCCAAGAAAGCCCCAGGCTCTGGTAGTGAGCACGTTCACATACAGAACAGCTCACGATGGAAACACTGATGAACACCCAGTTGCAACCAACCCAGGCCAGAGCTGGAAGCACCTACTCTGCCATGCACAGCTCACCAACAGGGTTAATCAGATCCAAGCTTGCACCTGATGTGGCATTTCTGAAACATCAAGCCAGTTTTGCTCAGTGCTCACTACGAGGTTTTCAGCCACAGGAGGTAAGAAATAAATTACACACACACTAGTTTGCATTTAAGTGAATAATCCCCACAGGTGAAGGGGACAAAACAGCACAGATAACACTACTAGCTTGCTGTGGGCTGTCACTGCTTGGGTCTCCACAGGCAGCCTTCCCAAGCAGAATAACAACTGGTCCATGTTATCTCAATCATCAGCACGACAACCATTTTCCAGAGTGTCTTCTCACAGCTCTCAGGGAGACCTCATTTGTCTTCAAGGTAGTTTTACAGTGCTGCCTATCCAGAATATGTTTCTGCTACTGGAACTCTTCCCACCTTCCTCTGAACATGTTCCCATCGGGCCAGAGATGCAGCATCTGTATCAGTGTGCACACAGCACACAGTCATTAAGGAGGGTGACCATTAGAAATTGGTACATGCACTGAGAGCTCTTGCTCCCAGACCACCAACTGAACCAGGAACGTGTACTGCACACACTTTCTAGTGCCTGTAGTGAGTGAAGATGTTAGGCTTACTCCCTCCCAGCTTCATCTATTTTAAGGATAACAGGTCTGCACTCTGATTCCTTGAAAGTTACCACAGGCTATTTAGTCATGAAGCCACAAAAATTAAACTAACTCTCAATGGAGAACCTGCTTTAGCAGGGGGGTTGGACTAGATGATCTCCCGAGGTCCCTTCCAACCCTTGCGATTCTGTGAAATGTTGACCAGCATGTTTAAGACAACTACATATGTACATATCCCCATCCTCCATAACCAGGAAACCTGAAGAGTTGGTCACATTTCATGGAAACACTGCCACTTATGCCACAGAGAAAGCTCATGCTTTTAAGAATCACATGGGCCTGCAGACATTTCATATGGGACAAGCTCCAGGCACAGTATTTCATTTTCTGGTTTAGTAAAAGTCCCAGACAATGCAAAACCAGTTTATATCAGCACAGAGACAGCATCTTCTGTCTTCCCATTAATTGCCTGAGACCCAAAAGTCACAGTATAAACTTAGAACAGCCTACTGACAGTTCAAGTTAACCAATGACAAGCCACTGGGCAACCTCTCTCTGCTTGGGCACACTTGGCACACAGCCTTCCTCCTCCTCTTCATAAGAGCAGCTGCCTCATGCAGCAACAGCTGATGGCAACCCAGGCTGGTCAAGAGCCAGGCTAGATCACTTTCTCTCCAATACCAGGGAGGGCAGACAGAACAGACCTGCAAACGAAGAGGGTAGGAAGAAACAGAAGACACAAGATGCATGAGGAAATGGGGGGGTGTGGGGGGTGCAGCAAGTAGCAAGGTATTTACAAAACCAGGGAGCCATCTCCCCAGGGAATGGACAGCCAAACAAAACAAAAACACACCAAAAACTGCCCCAGAAAACCTTTAGCATTCAAATCAGAGCAGACAAAAGAAAGCATGAAGGGTTACACTACCTACTCCTTCAGTTATAACTCCAGGGAGAAGGAAAACATACCCCAGTATTCCCCCCTGAAAATTTCAACGTATGTGTCCATTCAAGGTATTTGTGGTAAATACTCTAGGAAGCCAGGACAAGGTTGGGTGGCAGCTTCAGGAAGTTGCATTAGAAACCCATTATAGCACACATCACAAAGTACAATTACTGCTGTCTTACCTGATGAACAAACACATCTTCTTTGGTATCATTTCTGCAAATAGAAAGTGAGAAGTGGTAAGAGTTTAGACTAAGAGACTTAAATAGAAATCCCCGACTTCACAAGTGAAACCCTCCTTCACCCAGCCTGTAGTACATCCCCTGGATTCCATACATTCTGTGTAAGTCTATGCTACCAAGACCGTGCTCTGAATTGCCAGGGTCATATGCTCAACAGCAGAAAGGACTCCCCACCCTTCAGAAGGGTGAGAGAACAGGGGTAGGTTCTCTAATCTTCTGGCAAATGTTCAATATTTTGTTTTGACACAGGGCAGAGTTAATGACAGGACCGCTTGCCTTTCAGTATTCCA